AAAATATATATATATATATATATATATATATATATATAGAGGTCTATAATTTCTATTTCGATTTTAAATTAATTAATCAATTATCTTGCTATTTATTCTAGGCTTTTCAAAAATGTTGAAACGCAAATTTGAGGATCACCCAAATGACACAACTGAAGCAGTGGCACTTTTACAGAGAAGAGGCTCCATTGAGATGTCATTACATAATTTAGAGGATTTGATACTCTATATTCTAGATATATCATCGACTCTCTCTATATTATTAAAAACGTATTCTCCATTAATTGCTGCATTTCATAGAGAAGATTTTATAAACAAGTGAATAAAGACTCTTTTATTACTATTTAATTAAGATAACAGATTTTCTAGTTTTATATATGTTTTAGTTTTATGTATGTATATTTATTTTTCTCAAATCAGTTTTAATGTTCGAAGATTTAAAAATTTTTTTTTGTGCACGTACACACTTTGTATAAACACAGTATATTTTTATATTGGTACCACTATATTGTTTCTGTTCGCTAGGATAGTTTCATTTTATGGGAGCACAATACCTGAAATGTATAAAAAGTTAGATAAGTTAGCATATAGTGAAGAAAATATGCCAAAGTACATTGAATTGAAGCATCGTCTCGATGTAATCAGAGTGGAAATATTAAATCTTTATCGAATTATTATCTATGAACCTATATTAAGTATTCAAGAAAAGATGTATGTATATATGTATAAGAAAATACTGTTTTACGATGAAAAAAATAATTATATAGATAAAATAATTTACTTATATTTGATATCGCATTTTCAGAAGTACAATAACCGAAAATGGAATAAGGAATTGCATAGATGAATATTTGAACTCACTGATGAATGCCATATCCGAAAAAGAATTTATTATGGATTATCATCAGTTTTATCCAATTGATGTCGATCTCGAAAATATAATCAGACTTTGTCCTGAAGTGTATCCTTTTTTAAAAAATTATTTTTACAAAGAAATTTGAAATTCTAGTTTTTCTTACATATCATCAGTGATATGATAAAATGTGACTATATCTTACAATCATTACATGCATCGATTGGAGACATTCAGATGTTGGTTAACGCTTCTTGCAATAATACAAATGTAAAGAACAATCATATATTATATAATATATTTGTTTAAGATTTTTGTTATTACGGATTATGTTATAGATGGCCATTGCTGGACCTAGTGGCATTCAAAGTAATCGAAAAGAATCCAAAAGTAACAATGATATAACTTGCATGAACAAGGTGGACTCTGTTTCTAAAGATCCAGATGATATAAAGATTCTAATTTCAAAAGTGAAAGAAATTTATACTGACTATGGTGAAGGTTTTATCCAGGTAGATAATTGATTAAAAAAGCTCCAATTAATGAATTACATAAAGACCATTAGTTTCGTTAACTTATGTCTTTCAAAATTTTTAGCTATGTTTACAATATTATAAATATAATGTTGAAACTGTGATAAATGCATTTTTGGAAGACAGTTTACCTTTTAAGTTGAAAGAGCTTGATAAAACAATACCATATATACCACCGGATCCAATGGTAAGTAACAAAAAACAATTTGAACGTTATGACAAGACGATATAGCAAATTAATGTATGTTATATATCTTTAGGAAACAATCACTGTGGATGCTACTACGAATCTAGCCAGTGGTTTTCAAAAACTGAATGTTTCTGATAACGAATTTGAAGTTATGCCAGAGAAGTTTTTAGATACATTAAACACGAGAAAAAAGTAAATTATCAAATTTACTTTTGAAAAGCTTTCATTGAATTTTAATGTCCATCCTGTTGTAATAATTTTTTTTTTTTTTAGGCAAGATAAGTACAGAAATGCAAACGAATTATTAAATGATAAGTCTGAAATTAAGAAAGCACGGAATATTTATGAGAGATACAGCCTTGTTGTTGATGAATATGATGATGAATATGACGACACATATGATAGCCATGATATTCGTGGTAGTGCACCGGACGATTCTACAGAAATAGACGCTAGATCTTTCACTACTCCAAGGGTTGGTTTAAATATTGCTTTTAATTTTATATTTTATAAATTTTATTTTTTATAAAATGAATTTGATATTTAGGTATTTCGTACACACAATAAAAATAATGATAGTTCCGAAAATGACACTGAAATTGAAGATGAGAAATCTGTACGGAATAAAGATCACTTTATACAAAATCCAGCAGAATTGCGTGCTAAAATCGAGCAAAAAAAACAATCGGCAAGAGAAGACAAAAATGCGCATAATATAAATGGTAAGCTGTATATTTATTTATATAAATTTTTTTCAAGACTACAGTCGTATTAAACTATAAAAATTATACAAACAGATAAAATAAAAATAAAAGCATTTTGTTTTTATTTGGCAAATATGCAAAATCCCTGTTTTAACTTATGGAAATATATATTTACACAATACACTTAATTATTGATTTATTATAATTCATAATACTTCTCAAGTTTTAATATTATCTAATTAGGGCTTATTTAATTGTTTCTCTTTTGTTTCATCTATTTGGTCGCTTATATGACATTACAAATCAAATATTATAACATTTTGATGATTCGACAAAATTTGCTGAATGATATAAATTACAAATTGCAATTTTTCATTTTTTTTAAGGCAAGCTTAAAGGTCAAAGGCAAGACAAAAACGTCTCAATTAATAAAAAAAAAATATACACAAAGCTACACAAGGTAATCACAATCGTCGCATGGGCTCTCAAATAAAAAGAAGACAAGGAATGGTTCCATCTTAAAACAGCACATTTTTGCAAAAAGTTCCATACGATGTACATACTGCCAAGCAATGAACATCTTAGTTATTAGTTATTTAGCAACCATCTCATAAAAATAAAAATTCTTATAATTTCTATTTGTCTGTTTAATTCCGAGTTAGAAACGTTTAACAAACGAATACATGTTCTCATCTGAAAATGGCCTTAGAAAATATATATATATATATATATATATATATATATATATATATATATTATTATATATATGCGCTGTTTCAAAAATTTTTGGGATATGTTATTACTTATTTAATGATCTTTCACTATAGTAAGCGATTTCAATCTATTTAACTCAATACTTATTATTCGCTGATATTCTTCTTCAGGTATTACCATGCTTGATGTGAATTCAGAACATTGAATAGGCATCAATTGTGTATATAACTGTGTCGCATGTCCATAATAATTTAATTGTATCATAATCACAGCGTGAATGCTCGGATTAATGTACTCCAATCTTTTTCCGAGAAACGTCGGTAATTCCGTGAGTAATTGAGCATGTATAGTCTTCAATTCTTTAGCAGCTGCTTCTTCTGCTCGCCGTTCTCTTTCCAGCTTTGCGATATGACTCGCAGTTCTGTCTTTCTTCTCTTGTAATTTTTTTACTACGTATTATACAAGTATTTCCATGTAGTTACTAGATCCTCGCGCTTTGCTATTGCCGCAGCAATGGTGACAAATTCATTTCTGAATTTTTTCAGAGGTTCTATAAATGTCTTATGACATAAACTGCTGATTTCCTGAACATTTTTTCCCACCTGATAATTGAAACATATCGTAAATTTTCTCAAAGATTGTCAACATTATATATAACAGGTTAACTCACCTGTGTGGCGACAGAATAATACTCTTCCACTATCTTTCTACATTCATTGTTATTTTGTGCTAGCCCACAACTGATTAGATTTGTACTCAATCGTTGATCTGCTTTATCCAGATTTGCCAGAGCTAATATATATTTCTTCATTTCCTTGATTAATTTTCTTATTGCACTTTCGACACTTGAAAAGAAAATAAAATGTAATATCTCTGAATAGTTTTCAGGTAACAAACATATAACAGTTAATCATAAAAAAGATAAACAATAGCAACTGAATTTAAGTACATTTAAGTGGATCATTAGCAAGTCTTAATGAGGAACAACAACTTGTAAATATATGACCATTCAGATGTGCAGCAGTAATAGCAATTCATTAAATATACATACTAAATGAGCTTTTGAACGACAGCATCTAATTCTTTATCCTCCACGTAGGATAAAAGCGGTGGCGCAGAAGTTGGTCTCTGGTTCAAGTAATTCTTCTTTAAAGGATTCCTGTTTATACAACATATATGTCATGTAAATTCCAGTAGTATCAAAAGATTTGACAGATTTTGAAGTTTTGAGTACTCACCACGTCATATTCGACGTTGATTAGTGAATGTTAATGTTACAATTATTTACGAAGGTGGCAATATCTTCAGCAAAATGCTGTTTATGCTACATGAAATCTTCTGTATCTATTGATCACCCAGCGATTTGCGAGCATCACGTTATCAAGGAAATCTGTTATGCGCATTAAGAAAAAGAAGACACGTTATATATTTCCATTTAATTCGCGCGATAAGAACAACTGATTATTAACTGATTTCGCCGTTTGTTTAGTAATATCTAATGTAAACCTACGTCGCGCATGCGTTCGCGTGACGGATCCCATCTCGTCGATTCCTACCCGGGATGAACCCCGGGATTACTTTAACCTCTCGAATGGAACGCGTGGAGAAAATTGCATGAACTTGAATCGCGCAAATGTCAAGCTGGTTAACAAGAGTGACAGATTACATGCTGGAACGTATATTAAAATCCCCTATTATTTACACGTGACGTAAAAAAACATTGTCTTTGATTGGTCACCAAATACAGAAGCAAGATTGTTGCGAACGCGGTGCCATCTATTTTTATGTGTCATATGAGTCAAAGCAAAGAGCTCAGGCTTCTCTCCGGTGAAAGAAACACGCATTGCGATCAGCTAAAGGATAGCTACATCGAGAAGACACAGAGACTCGACGACAAAGATGTTTCCGGCTTACGCACATTTATCGGCTTACGACAGGCACAAGAAACTCGTAAACGACTACTTGACAATCTACGGAAAGTCTGTATCTTCATTCAAGCGAGACACGTATGTTGAATTTTTCGTTTTATGATTGGGTGTAGTAGAAGTTTTGTTAGAAGAACTGTTAGAAGATTGACATTGTATCACATTGAATCTTCATTCATTTTCTTTTGATCTTATTTTTCTTTTGGTCCTTACAATAATATACTAGGAGTATCTTCAAATAATATTTCATCAAATTGATCATTATAACTAATGCAAAAAATGTGATGTGTACGGGGCACTAAATAGTTTTTGCTTTAATCAACTCTTTATATTTTTATATCTGATATTTATATTACATACTTTTGTATTTGATTGAAATAATTTTGTTTTTGCATATTTTTTTAATGCTGAACATTATTTAATTTTATATTTTTTCATTAACATGAATTAATTAATCGAATGCATTGACTAGCTAACACAGTTTGATTAAGCATTTTAGAAATTTCTATTACATTTATTTTGTTCGATGGCAAATCAGTTAGCATAGGACATTTAAAGAGAGCTATATTTTTAAGAAGCGTATTCAATCTGATGAGTTCTCAAAATATTTCTTTACAATGGATTTATCATTAATTAGTAGCATGTGAAAATTATAACTGGATAACTTTATAACAGCACTTGACGTTTCGAGGTCCCGAGACAAGACTGATCATGATGTCATCAGAGAGAATCATAGATTTCTTTGGAATCAAGAAGATGTCCCGGATACATGGGGTGCAAGATTGGCTAAAAAATACTACGACAAATTGTTCAAGGAGTATTGCATATGCGATCTTACATATTACAAATATAACAAGGTATAAAATACATAATATTTCCTTCTTATATTTATATTTTTGTATTGATTGGATTATATTTTAAATAGATTAAAAAATCAGGATTATTAGATCATATTAGTTTACATAAGTTTAATAATACATAATAATATGTGTATAGGTTGCTCTGAGATGGAGAACTGAGAAGGAAGTAATAGTTGGAAAAGGACAGTTTGAGTGTGGCAGTAAAACGTGCCAAGAGAAGGAAAATTTGCGTTCTTGGGAACTTAATTTCGGCTACATAGAACATGGCGAAAAAAAAATGCATTAGTAAAATTAAGTATGTCTTATATATTTATTTTAAAAAAGAACGTAATTATATAAAGTTATGTAAGATTATTCGTCTAAAATAATTATTTCTTTTCTTTTTATATAAAGGACTTTGCCCAGAATGTTCGGTAAAACTTAATTATCGATCACAAAAGCGGGAGGTGAAGAGAAGAAAATCTTTGAAGCGTTTAGATACAAATTCCGAGAGTAACAACGACGTGCCTACTGTATCCAGTAATATAGAATTAAATAAAGAAAGAGATTCTAATTTGGCTGAAATACAGAGCAGTGAGAATACTGATGCAGATAAATCTGAAAATATCTGGAAAGAGAAGCCGACTGAAGACATAGAAAAAACAAGAGAAAAAGAATTTGAGGAATATCTGGCAGATTTACTTATGTGAATACAAGGCTTTCGTTATAATATGTAGTTCAACGTGATATTGTAAATAGATAACAAGAAAAATAATTTCATTTCTTATACTTTAATATTTTGTTTAATTTTTGTACAGGTATTTGTTGTTAGCGTACAATCATTAATTATAAAATTTTTATAATAAAATATTTCACATATGAGAAATGTTTTTTAGTGATATCTTTTATGTATTCAAGAAAGCTGAAAAAAATAAAAGATTTAATCAAAATAAAGTTATTGTTAAGTCATCTAAACAAATGATAGATGATATAAGAAAATGTATAAATGCATAAAATGTATATAAAAAATGCCGAAAATGCCTTCATATAAAGTTCTATTAATTTTTAATATATTTGAGTTTATTATTTAGATTTATTATTTTATTCTCTGTTCATGAATCAATGTAGATGAAAAATAATGAAAGATGATAAATAAAATTGATATTTTTGGAAGTATATCGTTTTTATTTACACATTAAACTCCTTCTTTAATTATATTACATGTATGAATTCGTAAAAATTTAGATTTTTTTTCAAATATGGAGAACAAAAATTATATAAAAATTATGGGTTCATGAAAAAAATTCAATAAAAATATATAGAGAATATAATTGATCAGAAATGATATTAATTAAAATTTAAAAAATCACGATTCTAAGATTCCTTGAATTTTAATATGTTTGCAAATTCCTACCATAAAAATTCAAGTTGAAATTTATGAAAGGAATGTAATGAAATAGAAGAGATGATACAGGTCAAACTCTAAATATTGCAATTTCGTAAACTCTTATTTATTTATTTATTTTTTCTTTAATATTACATGAGCAAGACTATGAACTAAACAGAGACAGGAGAATGTAACGAATCTAGGCACGCACATTTTAAATACGCTAAAAATTCGTGCGTATTCCAATATCAAGGCATTTCTGGCACCCAATATAAATTACCTGAATTACAACATATTAATTGTATAATAACAAAATATTTTCCTGTAAAGAAATATAAATAAATTCTATGAATGATATATGATATATGTATGAATGACATTATATATTGACATTTCCATAAAAGTTTTTTAGAATATTTTTTTAAATATTCTGAAAATCTTAGAATATTATAATTATGTAAAACGGAATAAATTTGTATTATTGTATATATGTGTATTATTGATCTCAAAGTTACAAAGAAATAAATATTCTTTTGCATTCGATTTCATTCTATTGTTACGAACTCTATGTGATAATTAACAATGTGTTCTACAATAATTTATTCGTATACAAAGTGGAATATTGTCTTATTTCCTTCCAGTGTAAAGTCTAATATTAACACAAGTTTAATAATTTATTATTTTTCAAACCAGATTTAATTACATATTTTATTTTTTATATCTAATCAAAATTAATATCTATTGACTATCTATATAATTTGAAAAATGATTGTAAAAGATTATATTTTATATTTGTTCTGTACACCTAACTTAAATTGCACAATTCATTATGGTTTGTTGTATCTCATTCAATTTCTTCATTATTTCAATTACGGTATCAGTTTATATTGTATATAAAAAGAATGAACTAATTCTCAATTTTACAATAAGTTCAATATCTATTATCAAAACTTCAATGTAATACTTCTAAACTTTAATATATGTATATATAATCATGTGAAGTTAATATACAACATATACAATAATAAAATCTAATATGTGTAATTTAATGTCTAAATATTTTATAATTGTGCTAATTATTACATGATGTCCCAACTAAAAAAGTATTAAATATTTTCTCTCTTAAGGAATCAATACAAATATTGTGCCAAGAATCGGCTCCCTATCATCGATATGATTTAAAAAATATAAATTACCCTATATATATGTATATATATATATACATTTTGGGGCTAAATATCGGAAAACACTCGTCATATGCTACAATAATTCCTTAAAACGTAAAATTCTACATATTCGTTATATATTCGTTTCATTTTTTCAGTCGATTTCAGTTTTTCAGTAAGATGAAAAATAGAGTCGAATATCATAAAATATAACTTCAATTGCAATTTGTGTTTCTCGTAGACACTCTCATTTGATTAGCTTGCTTCTGCGAATCGCTATCTTCATCGCTGCAATCCTCATCATGTGTATGTGTAACATTACGCGGCGTTTCCGGTCTTGCATGTGGAATTTGATTATTAAAATGGTCCACATATAAATTTTTCTAAACAGAAAATATAAAATATATTACTTTAATATATTCTCATATTAATCAATTAATGTCATGATATTTTTACAATTACTTACAGAAGAAGGTCGATTATGTTCTTCTTCCTCGTCTGCCAATTTAAACGTTCTCGAGCGACTAATCATCGGCGTTTCCATAACGAATCTTTGTTCATGCGCCACCGTACTCTCATGGGGCATCTAAAAGTATAATAAAGAGAGTTTATAACTGCCTCATGAATAAAAGATAAATCTTGAGTAAATCATGTATCCTAAATATATCATATGACTTACCAGCATGGCAGGTGCTCTGAACATATATGAAAAAGGATAGTAGATCAGATTCAAGAAAGACGCCGCGTATAAATCGGCGTACCTTACAACTTGACTGCTGAAAAACGTTTGTCTACTTCCGCTACGAAATAGAGAACCCATCATACCATAAGCTAGATCCATTTTGTGCGTGACATCTCTTATGGATGCGCGTAACTTAGATATATCCGGCTTTTCCTTTGTACTACTATCTAAATTTCTAAACAAAATAATGAATGAGATACATTAATGCAAGTATATTATAAGTATTTTATATGTGTTTATTTTTTATTGATTATGTTACTCACTTATACATTTCGCCGAGCATAACATCTAGACTTTGTAATTCGGCAAACAATTGACACTTGTCGGTCCAAACGTGCAACTCTTGAACCAACTCGGGGACAATTAAAAATGTCCTCCATCCTCTTATTTTCTTACTCTTTAAAATATCACCAAATATATGATCACCAACATATAATACATCTTTTCCTTTTGCGCCAATTAATTCTGTAAACACGTCGCACGAGCCTCCCGAATACACTTCCCCTATTTCAAAAATAAAATCAAAAATTAAAAATTTTATTTATAATTGAGCAAAAGTTTTTTTAGATTATATTTTAGATTACATTAAGATTGATATGTTTACCTGTATGAAGCGGTCCTTTGTGTGTACCAAGTTTTAAAGCGCCTGTCTTCGTATCCACTTGTCGTAAAATTGTCCCTTCTCCAAAGAATAATGGCTTCCTGGCGTCTACTACAATTGTGTCGAAATAGGTTTCCCAATTTCTATGTGGCTCATCAGGCTGAAATGAGAATAATATGTTTCATACATACAAATTTTTTAATTATTTTATTTAATGTGAGTATATATGATATACATTTTGTAATAAGAAATATTGTTGGATCATCTTTTTGAGAATTTCTCGTATAAATATTTAAATTCTAAATTAAATATAAAAAATAAAAATTTATGAATATTATAAAGTAAATTACTTGTCTAATATCGAGGAATTCTTCAAATTATTAATTTTCATATATAACTGTTAATTCGTTTGAGGCAATTTTAAGAATAGGAGAAAATATTAACAATAAATAGGAGAAAACGTACCCGTGCACCATATGGAAAATCGAACAAATACGTCATAATTTTGTCCGTGAAAACGTAATCACTGTTAGTTAATAAAAACACTTTTGCTCCGCTCTCTCGGATTCTCGTGAGGAACATAGGTAATCTCTCGTCCTTCTTTACGTATTCATCCAAGTTCTCGATAGTCTTCGTTTTCAGATTACCATGAAGGTGTATCCAATCTACCGCGTTTCGAACATCCTGAAATATGCTTTTGAAGCTCATAGTGAGCTCTCCTTCTTTCACTCCAGTCTTATCTCTGGTATATTGCGGTGAGTTTGTGAAGAAGTCTATCAGACACGCCAGCAGATAGGTCTCCGGTAGATTAAACAAGGTATTGAGCACGTAAACTCTAGACTCGTCTAATTGTAAAAATTTATTTGGATAAAGCTCATAGACCTGAGAACTGAAACGAAACAGACCAAGTGAAAAAAGAAAAATGAAAGAACAAGATACGGATATTATTTTCATCTCTTCTTACTGTTTCAAGAATTCGAAGCCGTGGACACAGACTAGGATGTTCCCGTAAGCGTCCACTTTCAAGAGATTCCCGTACAAGGTGTCGAACCATAATCCACGGACGGGAAAACTAGGATCGTATTCAAAGGCCTTGATTTCCTGCGGATACCCTAAAGACACTAGACGATCCTTGAGTAGATTAAAGCCCAATTGCTCATACTGTGGCGATTTGTACTCTAAAACATTTTGTATAACATAACTTTGTTTATCTCATCCTATAAAACAGAGAAATATGTAATTCATCAAAATAATTACCTGCCAATGTGTAATCCATGTCGAAGCCATAGAACTTGATGTTCTCCAGGTGAAGACTCCGATTAACGAAGATTCTGCAAAGAACAGTTCAATTAAATAACATCGTAAATTAATAATATTGATTTCCTGTAATTGTAATATAATTGTAATATAATTTATTATTTTAAAAGTAGGTATTTTAAAATCAATTTAAAGAGGAAAATTCGATGAGACCTATTGACGATGAGTTGTCGCGGCATATCAATGAACAATTCGTTTTCCTCGACATCTTCCTGTTGATAAAGAAACGATAATCGTGATAATCTCATAAATTCAGAATTCATTTCTCGCCCATGCTGCTCAAAATAATAATGATTTCGTTATGGATATTAATGATGGAAAAAACTGTATTATTAAATTTGACATGTCAGACAAATTGCATAGATACCAATAAAGTGTTGATAATCGAGTAACAAAAGATTTTCTTCTCTCTCTTTCTTTTCCTTTCCCTTTTTTTTTATTGATTTTTATTATTAATCTGTATTAAGTAACAGTATGTCAAAGTTAAGAAGATCTATAATGTATTCAACAATTAAGTTTACAAATCTGCCTATCGATAATTTTCACAAGATGATAGCTAATAAAATAATGCTCCTCCAAATCATGAAAAAAATTATTTTAATTCTGATGTTGGTTCTGATGTTTAATAAGTTATAATCTTAATTTTCAATTTTTATATTTTTTT